ATATAATACAATAGATATAGTTGATGAAGATGCTATAGAAACCTTTATTATTAATTAATTTCCCATCACAACAAGGCTTGAATAAAAAAACACGATTTTTCAATGGATCGATCGTCAGTTCGTTCCGTTTTTACTGTGGCAGGAAGGAAGGAAGGAAGGAAGGAAGGAAGGAAGGAAGGAAGGAAGGATGGAAAGAATTGAATTAAGATAAAAAAATAAAAAATAAATAAATAAATAAAAAAAAAAAGCAGCGATTCGCAGAATAATGCGTACTAGGATAAACTCTCTACCGACAACTATACAATCCGATTTTTCATTTCATTTCATAACCATTATTAATAAAAGACATAGCAGTCGTCTCGTGTATTTGTTTGTCATCATTGATTTTTAATTTAATTCAGCTTGAATTCAATGTTCTTGGCGTCAAACTCATATTTAATTGTTGACACAAAAAATATTAATTAAGAATATAACATCGGGAGATGGTGAAGCTGACTGAACTTGGGTACCGAATGTTTATGTGTGCGTTGAAATAAATTGTAATTGTCAACGAACAGTATGCGCTACTCAGGTGATATGTGACCCACGTGACCCAAATATCTGGACTCACATGTGCTCGTCAGTTGTCAGTTAATCTCGATTTTGAGATGCATCATAATTACCGCGACCTAACATCTATTTCACCCCGGCCTGCTCTCAGTCTGACCTCTAGCTCAGCTGGTAGAGCATCGGTAGTACAATTCCGAAGGTCGTGGGTTCGAATCCCAGCGAGGTCGGAAATTAATTTTTCCGAATTTAATTCCAAGGGCTTCCGCCCGGAACAACCTCGTTCCCAAGCACTACAACTTACCTATATTATCTTCTAATCTCGATTTTGTGTGATTCAAAAATATATTTTTTTACAATTTAAGAAAATGGTTAATAATTTACTAGAAACATCAGCAACATGGGCTTAACATTTAAAAGATGCTCGGTTGCGCAATAATTTCCTCACAAGGGGATTTTTTGTAATTGCAATTGTATGCCCCCAAAGCAGGGATAATCATACATCATGTGCTGCTATCGCCCACTGACAATGACAGCCTTCAAGAACTTACAAACTTAACCGTATCATAATATCATTCTCGCCGGCGACTCCAAATTTCCTTGCATCACGTGGTCAGATGTTTACCAAGTCACTTTATTTATAATTTTTATTTTAAAAAACTTAAAAGTTAATATATTCAATTTTTAAAATCTCATTCGTAGGGACCGTCGTAATTGGGGAAACCTGTGAAGGTATCCTTTACCTCTCATCTGCTTGTATTTTAGTTCATGTTTTTACTATAATTTGATGTGAGGTAAAAGGTAAATGGATATTTAATAGAAAATAGGAAGTTAGTCGTTACTCTGAGCTTACCTAGGCATTTCTCTCCCTTGAATCCTATAGCACAGTGACATTCAAAATGTCCGTCCACTATGTTGCAGTGTCCGTCGTTGGAACATGGGTTGGGATAACAAGGATTCTTAGCTGGAAAACAGATACATAGATGATATAAATACATGAAACAAACCATCGAGGCGTTTTCACAACATTCCATACGCATGTGCTCTCGAAAACTTTGTGTTTTCCACAATGTCATGAAAAGCATTTTGATTGATAGGCCAAAACTTTATTTTGTCGCAACGGCAAATTATACGATTATGGGCGTGTGATTGGAAAGCGCTATAAACGGATTTTCTATCGCTACCCTGATGATGATGATGATGATG